CAAACAGTCATCGATAATTTTTTAAACTTCCGAGAAGTAAATAGCAAGAAAGAGGATGCCTGAATTTCAGTGTGAAAATTCGTGGACGCTTCAGTAAAACAATATATTTGCTCACTGCATTTTACAATTTCACAAAATTTGAACGATTGTGCATCATAGACGTTGACAATTCCGAAATTTATCACTACGTGACTCTTTCTCTGAAGTGTTCTCAACAAAACGATCCGACGTTGTGATTGAAGATTTTTCAAAAATTGTCAAACGGTCATAAGTGTGCCTCGTTTAAGCGGCAGCAACCATTAAATGCCAAGAATCATTCCGTCAACAACTATACCAAACTAGTGTCCGTCGAGGAGCAGTTTGGAGAAAAGTGGACGGGGGGGGGGGAATCCCCGCAAAAAAGTCGCGAAGCAAATCACGCGGGGGCATCCCGTCAGGGAATGACCTCTCTCCGTGTTCACCGACGGGGAAGACTGAGAGCATCTCAGCTCAATTTTTTAATAGAATTTCAATTTTTTTTAAATTTTTCTTCTTTTTAAGGAGTTTTTTTTTTGAAAATTCCGTTTCGGCTTTTAAAATAGAATTCTCCCTCCCGATGTGTACTTTTGGGAGTGAAATGAAATCGTTCATCAATGATAATTAACATCTTACTACCATTCAAAAACCTCACAATAAATTGGTTTTATTTTATTTACATCTCAATCTTATCAGTTTTATCCTATCCTATTATCTCCAATATCGTATCACTTTCACAGTAACTCACGCCCCCAATAATCCAATACCTCAACAATGATTACCGGAAATATCATCAGTATAGAAGGAAGTGAGAATGATTTTTTGGATAATGCATTCAAACTTCTGAAATCGAAATCACTCAAAATCAGTTGGTCAATAACTCAGTTGATATGAGTGCAAAAGCATGAATTTTCAAATAAATGACAGGTTGGAAACTTAAGAAACCATTGTTCATAACAAGTTTTTCGATTTCTATGATTATATCCTTTAAAAATGTCATGTGTCACCGTTTATTTCCTCCTCAGCAATATTTGATTCTTTTTTGAATGACAGTTGAGCCAAAATTTCCATATTGGGCATTCTAATTCAGTTACCTCAAGAATTTAAGCAACAGATCGCTCTAATCGAACAGAATTTGATTCTCCCCGTCCTCTCCGATGGGGAGAACGGGGAGCTCGTCCTCCCCATCGGGAAGCAAAACTGGACAGGGGGGAAAGGATCTCCGAGAAAAAGTCGGGGAGCGAATCGCCCGGGAGGTCCCCGCGGGGAGAAAATTGGACGGGAGGGGGGTCCCTGCGAAAAAGTCGGGGAGCAAATAGCGCGGGGGAGCTCTCCCCGCGTTCCCCGACGAACACTATACCAAACACATTTCTTTATATGGCCTCATTTACAAATTGGTTGCATTCCACCTGAATTGACCGACATCATGTATAATTTTTGATCATATCTATTCATAACATATATTATCTAAATTCTGACATATATTATCTAAATTCATAACGCACTGATAAATTCGTCTAAATAAGTGACAACTTAATAACGTAATAACAGTAACAATGATGATTTAATAAACGCAGTTCACATCTATTCGTCTCATTATAGTTTTTATTCACATTCTCACGCATCAAATTCCATAAACTTATCAAATTTATCATCAATAATCAAGTTATTTATTTAGATAATATATATTAAGAGTCAATATTTTTTATTATTATCATTATATATTAATTATCACTGCTATCAGTAGGAGGTGAACATTCAAACAACAATTATCAAAGAAAATGAAAATAAATACCATATAAGTGTAGCAACGGATAATTGATCAGCGTTCAAATAATGATTAAACATGCATGCAGTCACATATTCACAATAACTCATTACAGGTAGTACGGTATTTTGTAGAGCTGTGTTGTTGGAGGATACAGTCCTCGTCGGCATTACTGTTGTATAACCAATAATGAACGAGTCTCGACAGCTCTTTCTTGATATCGAATGAGAAATATCCATATACATACGGGTTGAATGCACTATTCATAGTTGCGAACATATAAAGTAATTTATGCAATGTCGGTGGTATTACTATATGTCGTTTCGGACGACCCGTCTTCAATATTATTGATGATTAGGCATCTGCATTCAGCGGTTCAAACCAATGCATCTCATGTTCTGTTTGCCTTCCGTGTCCTCATTAGGCCATGCGATAGACCTCTACCATTCCCTTCTCGAATAGTCCATGAAACCACAATTTGTTCCCCTCTCTCCCCCTCGGACATTCCAATATTTCATAGTGAAGGTCAAAACAAAGTCATGAAACCGATCCAATGATGATGAGAAAGTTGTTTGCTAAGTCAATTCATTGACTGCATCGAAAAGTCAGTTCACTATGATCAAACAAGTTTCATGCAAATGT